AAAAAAAAAAAAAAAGAGCAGCGAATTGCTTGCTCGTGGAAAAAAGAGATCAGACATGGCTTTGGTTTAAAAAAGGAAAAACTAGCAGCAACATTCTTTTTGTGGTTTTTGGAGCAATAGTGCATCACAGATTATTTTTTAAAGTAGCAGGCGTGTGGATCATACAAGAGAAAGGAGGAAAAAACACATTTTTCATGGAAGGAGCAAAAAACACATTTTTCATGGAGCTTTAATATTTTTTATTTTTCTCTTTGGCATGATTTATTTGATGATCTTAATGTAATATAGTTCATATAATTATCCAACTCGTTTTTTGTGTTTTTTCGTAATTTACTAGATGTTTTGGATTAGATGAAAAACTTTGTGATTAATAGTAGAATAAATTTTGGCATGCGACTTTAGTTTACAAGTATTTGTATTCTAACTTGTAAGCTAAATTTTGAATAATTTGTGTTATTTATTTTCACTACGTATTTTATTTTTATCTGAATATCTAAAATTTTAGGTAGCTAAAATTCGTGTTTTATTTTTATCTGAATATCTGAAATTTTAGGTAGCTAAAATTTTAACATGAATATATCAAACATAAGTTTGAGTTTGAGTAAAAGAAATATAAATATGAATTTTCTGAATAAAAACGCAACTATGCAAGGCTATGAAATTATCACGTAACAAATATTAATAATTCTTCATCAATAATCTCCCCCAACTTATATTCTCATTTTCAATCTTAAATCAAAATATGAATTATTTTACCATATATATTTTCTACTTCTTATTCTCGTTTTCAAACTTAAATCCAAATATGAATTTTTTTACCATATTTTTCACGAAAAAAAAAAATAATAAAAGAATAAATGAAAGATGAAAATAGTAGTGCAATATTAATCTTCCCAAACTTATATTCTCATATCCAAACTTAAGTCCAAATACATACTTTTATATTTTTACTTCCAAACTTAAATCCAAATATGAATTATTTCATATCTTCCAAATTTGGAACTGCTGAGAGACATTGCTTCTTACTTTATATTTATTACAGACTCATTCTTACTTTCTACGTCAAGTACAAACTCACTCCTCTTGCCTCAGCTTTTGGGTACCTACATGGTTTAAGCATGGGGTGGTTATGTCTTCCTTATTAATCTCATTCCGATTATATGTGATGGTTCTGTTGATTACTGGACTTTGACATTCTACTGAAAGACATGAATGACTGTTTTTTTTTTTTCAATTTCAATATTCTACCACTAATACTCTAGCATGCAAGTTAGTTAGTTTATGAGAGGGTTCCGTCACAAAATAATATAGCTTTTTTAATTACAAAATAACAATGTAGAGTTGTTGCAGTTAATTTATTTAATTTATATTTTGGTATGATGTCATGTATTATTGATGAAATTATTTATAACATGTATAACTATAATAATGAATTCGATCCAATTGTTATAAAAAAATTTGTAAAATATTCATACAAATAAATATATTACAGATAATCTAAACATATTTCATATCATATACTAGAAGGAAGAGATAATTAATTTAGACATAATATCATATCAAAAAGAACTAGATTTATCACCTTTAAGCGTGACTTCTGAGTTTTGACCCCACTAACATTTTCATTTTGACACGACTAAAATATGTAATCATACCCCGTATTATATATCGTGTGGATCCTCTTCTATGGTGGCTGGAATCAGCCATCCTAAAATAAATAAATAAATAAATAAATAAAGAATATTCACTGTGATCAATAATGTTGATTTATAAGCTATTTAATGTAAGTGTAAGCGTCCTGACTCGATTTAGAACGGATCAATCTTTGTCCTCACCGGTAGAACGTCGGAAACCTGCAAGTAACTCTCACACCGGGTGTTGTGTCCGGTGAAGAGTCTCCGATACTTAAGTCAGTATGTGTATGAGTATACTGAAGTGAAGAATGAATAGAATATCTTAAGGGAGAAAGGCTCACCCCCTTTATATAGGGGTGAGATATCTGCCCTAATAGCTGCCCGGATATGGTGAGCTGGCTGCCCAAGCTGTCCGTCCGTACTCTGACACACCGCGCGCATGTCAAAGGTTGCGCGGGGCATTAGGAGCTGTCAGAGGTGGTTATCGATATCCACTAATACATTCTCGACACGTGTCCCCCTGCACATGGTGTAAATATTCTCCTGAGATTTGGTTAGAGGCTCTCACACGCGCCTGTGACTAGGCCGATTGTTGGGTCCTCGAAGTGATCGACCTGTTGAGGTCGAATAAGTTGCTCGATCGCTTATCTGGTCGAGCGATGGATTGGTCGACTACTCATCTGGTCGACTACTCGTCTGGTCGACTGTCTGAATAGTCGATCCTCCTGCCTCTTGGCCTGGTTTCCTCACAGTTTGATCCTCTCGACCGGCTTACACTACAACATAAATAGCTTTAGATAATATCACAAAAATGATACTTAAAGGCTATAAAATGTTACTATAGGCAATAGGTAATAGAAATATTAGCGCTATAGTTGTCTGTGCTACCTATTATCTATGATAACACTTATAGTAGTTATTGGTTACACTTAATTTATGTGTTGCATTGGATAATGTAATGTAGCACTTTGAAGTAACATTTGTTAAATGCTACCTATAATTGTTTATGTAGCACTTTTTTTTATCTAATGTAACATTTATTCCGTCGCACTTTTGATTGGAATGTAACATTTTCTCAGTAGCATTTTTTAAATGATAACATTTTCATGTATCACTTTTCATGTTTTTACTGCAACACTTGTACGTAATTTTGTAACACTTTGCAACGTTACATGTATTACTTTTTTAGAGCTAATGTAACACATTTTTTTATTAATTTTGATTTTTTGGTAACAAATTCAATGATTTCATATTCATTTTGTGCATTGCACGTTGCATATTTTTTAATTATTACACAACACTTTAAATTCCCTCATGTGTAACTTTTTGTCATTCATATACAAATTATCATATAAAATATACAGTATTTGATAATAATAAGTATTTGATAATAATACATTACCAGCGATCAAATTGAACTCGACAAATAAAGATCATGAAAAGTTTTTAGCTATTACTTAAAAAAATCGTGCATCAAAACGCAAAACATTCACTGGAATTATAACCAAAATATATACCAAAAGTACGAACATCTCTAAACATGGTTCAACAAAATAATACGTTTAGCACCCTAAATCGTCACCCTCACTTCTCAGCTCTCTTTCATGAATGCAGACATTATCAAGTTGAAGTGGTATTCATTGTGAGTTTGCTCCACTATTATCGTCCTGAAAAAAGGCATTCGTTTACATGATACAATCAACACTAAATCAATCTTTTAAAATGAGATAGAAAGGTCCTTAGAAGTTCTAAATATAACATATAATTAAATTCAACTTCTCATATGGAAAGATTATAAGAATGACATGAACCATAACTAAAAGCTTATTAGGGATCAAATAATCCTAAAACTAAATTTTAGTATCAGAAAACAAGCAACCAAACCAAACTATCATATCTATCATATGATTGCAAATGAGTAACCAAACTAAACTATCATATCTACCATATGATTGGAAATGGGTATTGTTTCTATACAAACTATTAGCCATATTGAAATCAAATATTCAAACAATTATTTGTACAACATAAATATGTCAAACTCAAGAATCCAAGTGTATGATTAAACAACTAAAGATTTTATCTCCAGTAATTCTTTGTCATTGGTTCCTTCAAGAGTCTGGCGGTCACTGAGTGATGATGTTATTGAAGCCAATATGCCAGGAGAAATTTGAACTTTTAATAATTTCACCATTTCCTTAACTGTCTCTTTGTTGTAGAACTTCATCAGGAATAAGTTGTACACCAAATTTAGGAGGTTGTTCTTTATTTTTGGTAGGCTTGCCCATAAGTTTGTGTTTTCCAACTTCTGGTAGTTTTTCCACCTGATTATGTAAAATATTAAAAGAATGTTTAAAAATAAAAATAATTATATGAATTTAAGTATAATACAACTTACATAAGATGTCTTGTATTTTCTCCCATCACTCCTTTTGCAAGTTTCCATGTACATGGTTGCTAAAGAAGGTGGTTTTTTTTCAACTTGTTCCTGTAACAAAATAATTTAGCATAAAAAAGCACTTATATTTTAGTTATTGATTAGCATACAATGTAATAATAGTTAAACTTGCTATTTTGAAAAAGGAATAAAAATATAATGGGAACATAAAAAACGTATACAATTCTTTACCAACTCGTGACGTTTTATCGCGAATGAAATAGGTCCCATAGTGTGTCTATCTTTTTGGGCTTCACTGTTCTTTTTATTCTTGTCACTTTTTTCCTGTAATGAGATAGCATTATAATTAATCTCCCTAAATAAATTATATATGTATATATAACGAACTACTAGAAATACCTTAACCTCCTCTAAACTCCAGTAGTTCAATAATTCCATAAACTGTGCATCTGAAATTGATCTTGGTCGACTTTCCCATCTATCTTCATCATTGTCATACTGAAAGTAGTGCTTCTTTTTTATTCTAGATTTGTGAGCACGCCAAAGAGCACCAATTGAAGACAACACATATTCTTTCCCTTCATCCGAAATAATGAATTTCTTCTGAAAAGTATTTTTTTTATTAATTACCACATCTATTGTAGTGCTTATTTACAATGTGCTATTAAAAATATAATCGAAAACACAAAAATGTGTACATAGAACCACCAAAATTCTGAAATTTTACAGAATTGTACATTCACATACTCCCAGAGTTTATCTTTGTCAGAAACATGACGCCAATCAAGAAAATTCAGCGGTGCAAGAACAGAATCTCTAGCCAATGAACCACAAAACTGACTAAATTTGGTTAGAGTGCCTTTATCAGGGCCAACTGGTTCGCGATTTTCATTCAAGAAGATGGGCCGACGCTCATTTAGATTCCAACTATTAACTTCTTTACAGATAGTTGGTCCCCTAGTTCGCTTCTCTTCTGGTAGAACTACACAAAGTTCAATATATTTGATCAATATTGATTGAATAATGTATGAATGATAATGTGTACATTAATGAGTTATGCAACTAGCATCTCCTCCAACATTTCAAAGGAACCAAATGACTAATCTAAATTAAAGGTAAAAGACATATTAAACTAATTTTGAATGCTTACCATCTAGATCAAGCTGTTTTTCAGTTACTTGGGTGTTTTCATTGATATTGTTGGCAAGTCGAGTTGAATCTACTTGTTCTTCAACAACATAGTCATCACCCGAGCTTTGGAAGTCCTCATCTTCATCAACTAAACCAAACCTACGACCTTTATCATCTTTCTTTTCACGCACTCTTGAATAGTTTTCTGGCGGCTTTTGTGAGTTGTCCACTGGCTGGTTTAAAAGGCCATTTTGCTTGGATAGCTGAATATTTGTTCTTAGTTGCTCCTTCATTCTGAGGAAACTACCAAGGGACCCTGGTGCAACTATCATCTTGTCTGCCCCATTCTTTACTTTCACAATGTTCCCGATTTTATCTTGACTGCGATTTAGCAAGCAATTTTCATTACCTACATTCATGTTTGGCTGAGGCATAGCTTGTGAAGATATCCCTCCATTTTTGCAAATCTGAGATCGTGTCGTCATGAAACTGGCCATTGAAGTATAATGGACTTGTGCTCTCTGTGTACTCCTTTGAGATTTTTTTGTTCCACTAGCCACAACCTAAAACATATATATAGTGATCACACATATTTAAATTTAACCACTGAACAAAATAGATAATGTTTGTTTGCAGAACCTTTTTTGAACAAGGTCTTAAGATTGTTTGCCCCATCTTAGTGACATCCTCTTCCGTTGAATGCTCTTCTTCTTCTTCGTCGGGTATGAATCAGTTGTAGTACCTTGCTTAGACTTCACGATTTTCTGGATCTTTTTATTTTTATGCTTCGTTAGATCCCCTGCTTCATAAGCAAGTGGCCTGAGATTCAATTCTTCCATTTTTCTATTATTATCCATTATCCTCTTGAGTCTTCGTTCTTCATAGGCAGTCATCTTGATTTAAACCTTGAAAAATAGATATTTAACTATTTTTTTCGGTACAAGATATTTAACTATTAAATCAACATATCATATCACTGAATGCATTTTATACAATTTTTAACAAAAATACTATTACAATGACTTGAATATTATCATCCATGGAAGCAAGCAATTACATTCCTTGATAAATCCTTTCATTCTGAACACTGGAGAAATTGTCCAATATCTGATTTCACAGGTTTTATAAATAATAGATTTTGTAAACAAATTGGACTTTCTTGGACAATTTATCAAACACCTTATAATCATAAAGAATAGAAAGTTTAAAATTGCCACTATTACGTATCCAAGAAATTTTGTACACAAAAATGAAGTATGAAAATTTACAAAAAAAATAAAAAATAAAAGTACCTTAAGCAGACTCACGCTTCAGCTGAATCCTAGGTATAATCACCGGCCGGGAAGAGGAGAGATCGATGACGAATTGACGAAGTGGTTGAGAACTTTTTGGTGTTTGGGAAATTCGGCCGATAGATATGTATATTTGACAAATAAAAGGATATAAGAAGTGGAAAGGGTTTTGGAACATTAGGGAAAATGAAAATGAATAGCGGGAAAATTGGGAGGGAAATTAATTGGACATGCCGTGCAAAATTGTTTTAGTAAATTAAAACTACCTAAAAATTATGGGTAGGTTATTTTTTCAATATAAAAGTCAAATATATGTTATGGTATATAATCTAACATTATTGAGTAGGATAATAATTTACTATTGAACTCTAAAATTGTAAAGGAGGTTTGTTAAATTGTAAAAATAATTCATAACGTACAGTGGTCCATTTTTCTTTACAAAACAAAACTTACCTTTAAAAACTTAATTACATTCTATGTTATAAAAATTGGTTTACATGCCTAAACAGTAAGAACTAGGCGGCACCCGACACTAGGGTTGTAAACTAGAGCTGTAAACGAACCGAACGTTCGCAAACAAAAACTCATTCAAGCTCGTTCGTGTTCGACAAAAGCTCGTTCATTTATTAATCAAGTCAGGTTCGAACAGAAAATCAGGCTCGTTTAATAATCAAACGAACACGAGCTTGTTCGTGAACGTTCGATTATGTTCGAGAATATTAATTTAATATAATTTTATTTAATTTTTTATATATTTATATAATATTTTTAATACAAATCTAAAATTTAATATAATATTATTTATTTATTATATATTTACATAATATTTTTAATAAAAAATCTAAAACATAAAAATATTTTTATTTTATTCTTTTATTTTCGAATTTGAACGAGTTCGAACGAACAAATTTCGAGTTAATCAAACATATTTTAAAAGTTTATATATTAAATTATTCAAACTCGAACGAACTCGAACTTTGACGAACAATTAAACGAACGAACTTGAACATAATGTTTTGCTCGAAAAATAAACGAACGAACACAAACATTGTTCGAACGTAAACGAACACGAGCTCGAACAGTCCAAGCTCGGTTTGTTTCGGTTCGTTTACAACACTATTGTAAACGAATCAAACCGAAGCTATTACTCAATCATTCGATTCGAATTTGTAGTAGTATTTGACTATTCATATTCGAATGGTTATCGAATTTAATTTGTGATTCGTATTCGAATCGACTAAGATAATCGAATGTATTCAATTCAATTCGGTATTTGTTTTCAGACATCCTATACACATATTAAAATATATTTAAATATTTTTTAAACATATTTTTTTGAATATAATACATATTTTTAAATATAATCTATTTTTAAATAAACTAAATATGTTTTTTAAAATATAAATATATTTTTTGTGTTTTATATTTATATTTAACATTATATTATAAATAAAAACTCATGCACAATTTTGTATCATATATAATATATTAAATTATATATACTTATTATTAATGAATCGAACATGTCCATATTCGGATTCAAATTCGAATAAATTTCAAATACTAAACACTATTCTTATTTCAATTCTTTTTTTTATGAATACTAATCACGAATACCGAATTCGAATCATGAATTGAATTTAAAATGTTTGATTTGTTTACAAATTGAATTTTAAATTTTGATTTGTTTACAACCATACCAAGCACGTTGAGTTTGCCCATTTGTCCATTCAGGTGTTTAGATAATTAGATGATGTGTGATTGGTCTAGTATATGGCCTGGAATGAGATTGGCTTGGAGGTCGGCATCTTTAATCTTTAAGTCGATGTGCACTCGGTTCCTTATGTCGGCAACGTGCTCTGGGATTTCGGGATATCACCAGTGAAGGCATATCGTCCACGTCAAATACATTCATTTCGATTCGATTTCTTTCGTCTACAACATTTGAATTCGTTTCGGATTCCGAGTGACATTTTAAATTTTTTTTAAATTTTTTAGATTTTCAAAGAACAATGTGAAATCTTAAGCTGTAGGTGAAATTTGAAGTGAGATTTTGTATATTTTTTATTTAGAAAAATTAACAAATCTTCAAAAGTCTTTACAAATCATAGTCTCAAATAAATTAAGCACCTCATAATTTTATAAGACTTTTTAAAATCCGAAATGAATAGCTCAAGACTTTTAGAAATCTTAAAATGTCAAAATAGAATTTTGAAATCCTAATTGAATACACGGTTTAGTGTTGACTCTTGATAAAAAATAAATAAAGAAAAAACTATAATCTGGTATAAAGTATTGTAAAATAAAGTTTGCAAAAAATGATGTACAAGTGAAAGAAATTCTAAACATAAAATGTAGGGAAATATGTTCCAAAGTGACTTCTTAGTGTAAATCCATTTACAAAGATTTGAAAAAATTTATAAGAAAATGACAGAAATTTTAAATTCGATAGGATTTATTATGAAATATTAGTTCTTTTTTAGTTTTTAAAATTAATATAACAATTAGGATGTGTAGCTTATATGGTAAATGACAAAAACTATTGTTTCTTATTCTTCAACCAAAAAGAGAGAGAGAGAGAGAGAGAGAGAGAGAGAGAGAAATATGCACCATTTTACAAGATTCCACTTGTACTATGAATAGCAAACCAATCACAATGTTTTGAGCCAACAAGAAATTTTTTTTCTACTACCCTTTCAGTTCACAAGGATGATAAACCAATGTCCTCTCAAAATTGAGATTATCATAAGCACTTACAGAGCATGTCCAACAAAATTGCTTTTGGTAAAAATTAATTAGACCAGATTCAAAAAATGCACAGCAACATACAACACAAAAACGAAGGCCAGAGATAAACAAAGGAAAAGATGGAGAGAAGCTCAACAACATAG